TATATACTATATATTATATACTTCTAATAAACTATATATAAATACTATATATAGTAAAACATACTATTTTTAGTCTCCTATAGACAGTATATATTTTGTCAGCTATAATTGCATATGATAATATATTTCAAATAAATTCTCTCATAATTTCTGTAATAAATTGTGTCATTGTTTCAGGAAAGTCCACCTGCTTATTCGAAGAAGTATCAGTGAAAAAATGTACGTACATGCAAATTTATATGAATTCAATTGACACGCATTCCACTTTAGGCAAGTATTGCGAAATTATACGCTACCACGCATTTTAATAAACGTAACAAACTACGTTTGTTAAATAAAAATTCTTGAATCCAGCTACAGATTCAGAAAAACGGCGAAAGGTGCACTACTACTTTTCTCGTTATGCAATGTTAGAGAACACCGGTATTAGCGCAAATATTTGCAACGATACCACTATGTATTAACAATAATTCTTTATGTGCATGTTATTTCTTGAAAAATAGTATTATATTGTTTCACACAAATCTTTATGTCTAAAATAAATGTTTGAATATGTAAATATATAACAACATGTGTGTGAATTTATTGTAAACTTGCACACAAATTTTCTTTGTTTTATTAACAATTATAAAAATATATAATATTGAAACATCTCTCACACGAGAGAAATAGCATCAATATACATTGTACGCAATATTTTCTGTAACATTTACAGAAGATAAAAAAATAACTTCTTAGAATCCTATCCAAGTAGTTAATAGTGCGTCATAGATATATGCTATATGAAATATATAAATATAAAAAAAGCTAGAAAATCTATCCGTACTCAGACGTGACCGTTAGACTAAGATTTCCGTTTTCGATGCGAGTACCATGATACCATATCCGAGTATCCAACAATACAACGTCCGCCACGTCGACGGTGAATGTAAAAGATTTACATTCGCTCTCACATTCCGGCGTCGGAGCTACGGTCCACGTTTTACTGCCTATTATCTGAGCTTGCCACATAAGTCTTGATATATAATCCAGCTACAAAATAGAATTAGATGATATTTATAAAACGCTGATAAGTCGGTGACTTTTGTTGCGGCGTTGTTCGCGGCTACAAAACTCACGTGCATAACGGCACCTTCCTCGTAACCAAGGAAGATGTAATTGCTGTACGGAATTTCCGCGTCCTCCGGCAAGAAGTGAGGCACGTTGTAAAACTCTTTCATAGCATCTAGAATCTGCAAATGACAATTTTTCCAGCCGACGTACCAGGAATCTTCGCCATTTCGATGTAACGCTTGATCTTCACTCATCGCGAACACTTCGCGCAAATTCGCAAAGTTACTCTTGAAATGCAAAAACTGGCATTCCTCTTCCACCGACTCGTAGGCACCCTCCGTTGTCTCGTACAAATTTCGAAAAAATTTTAGAGTGAATTTTTTACGCGCCGGCCAATCGTAGGTCGCGTTTTTTATTATCATAGGTCGGGGCGAATAAGAGTAAAAACGAAACTCTTCTTTGGTCAAGTTTGGCAAGATTAACGGCGCTTCAACGCCCCGGCAATAATCGCAATTTGATATCGGTCTTGTAAATTCCCATACGAGATAATTATTCGGCAATAAGCATCGAGTTCCTTGAAAACTCTTAATTAAATTCGTGTAAAAACATCTGTTAAATATACTATAGAGAAATGGCACTAATAATATCACCAGCATTTTTTTTGAGAACATTGGAAAACTGGGATTCTTAGCATTTGCGGTAGTAATCGCAGTAACGGATTTTAAATCACTTATTATAGCTCCATGTTGGATGTAATTTTCAGTTAATTTAAAAAACGCTTCTTGGATTATATCTATATTATTCTCTATCGTTGCCATTATAAAGAAATTAAGACTTCTTGAGTTTTCGGTCGGTTAATTTATCGTTCGTAAGGAGATAATCAAAATTATTTTTTATGTACATATAATTGTAACTTCCAAATCATAAATATAGAAACTTTTAATTTTTAATGTATTTCTTGTTTTGTGATACACACTGAAGTAATTCGAGCGAGTAATTAATATTTCACTCTTGTTGTACGTATTGCTCGTTATAATTTCTGGATTTTGACGATATTTAATAGTGATGTATAATTTACTGTAGTCACACTGTTAATCATATTTTTATTTTTATTATTTTTTTCTGTCTTTCTAAATGCGCAATCGTGCAGTGATGTTTAAATATATATAAATATATAATTGTGTTCTAATCATGTCGAACGTGCGTGAACTTGTTTACGTTGTCTCAGAAGAGATTTTAGAGAAAATATTTATTTAAATTACATATAAATTTCCGTAGTGTGTGTGTTTCAAACAGTATTTCCGCTGCACTATTTCTCACAACTGTACAGTGCAGTAATTTACACCCAGGATAATCCATCGATTCGAAATATGAATAATAACATAATAAATAATGTCCACATTTACACGCTCATACGCACAACATTGTGCTCGGCCTTGAGCTACATACGCGTGACTGTCAGAGCTGCAGACCGTCTATCGATTACACGGCGGAGACTTTCATCTCCCGGTTGGTGGGGATTCTCCTTCCAATGGCATTCATATCCGCCTTCTGAATAGAAGATTTCAGTCTCCTGTAGCCGCAACTAAGTGCTTTAATAAGACGTTTCCTGCGTCATATGTTCAACAGATGTGCTCGTTCTTCTGAAAAACAGCTTACGCATCGACACATACGTACATACACATACACGCAATAATATTCTCTCTCTCTCTCTCTCTCTATGCACATACACTCTCTGCATACATAAATGATTCAACAAGTATTTCATTTTTTATGGAATACACATACACACACACACACACACACACGCGCGCGCACGCACGCACGCACACATACACATACACTTCTAGTAAAGTATAAAACAGCTATTAAAAAGATTTATATATATATATAAAAGAATTATAAAAAACAAAAATCTTAAAAGTATTTATTTTATCAAATCACACAACGTAATGTACAGATCTCATTCAAACCGATTTTTAAAGTAGACTTGTCGACGGACAGTTATTAACTCCACATAGAAATGATTACAAAGTTTGATTTATCTTATTTACGCGGTTGTACAAGTCTGACGATATAAAATCTAATTTGCTGCAGTTACAACACTAAAAAGCATACATAAATTTTATACACAATAAGTTTTTATAAATCCTGATATAACAGATTCGACTTGGCTTTCTTTTTACATTATTTTATAATATTAGGCCAATTACAAAAAAAAAGTTTGAAAGATTATCTTTTAAACTAATAAATATATGTAAATTCGGTCATGAGAGCCGTTCGCTAGGTGTTGTGCGTAAATTATACGTGTATATATATACATATATACGTGTTCACGTGTAAATTTTTACACGTGAAAAAATTGTAATTGTTATTACAATTCGAATTTCACGTGTAAAAATTTACACGTGAACACGTATATATGTATATATATACACGTATAATTTACGCACAACACCTAGCGAACGGCTCTCATGACCGAATTTACATATATTTATTAGTTTGGAAAACTTCAGAGCCTTAAAAGATTCTTTAATTGATTATCTTTTAATTTTATGTAGTACAATACTATTCGTTGTTATTTTTCTGTTCAGTGTAATGATAGTGAAATATAAACGTGTCAATTTATAGTTTTTTCGCTCGCGAGGCATTGACTGTAGCTTCACTTCAATGATGATATCGTTTTTGTTGCAGTTCGTGTTATCAAAGAGAAATATGTATACAAATATGAACGTACATATGCAACCCCCTCTACAGTAAAAAAGATTTATATATTTCGTTTTGTTGCAAAAACTACAACAAAACATAAACCTTTGTTAAAGCTTAACACATATCAAGAGTAAATTCCATGCAGTCTCTCGGAATTATTTTGTATAGATACGATAACATTAAATTATTTGATAACCTGAGTAAAAAAGTTATATGAAAATTTCAACTAATCATATTGTGAACGAATAACAGTCACTTAAAAGCTTTCTTTAGAAATGCACACAATAATTTTAATTTAAGTTAATTTATATTCGAATTTTATAAAAAGAATTATCACTTTGGTGAATTTATAATATATCAACACTATTTTCAAATAAGATTAACCAAGTTATAAACTGACGTAAAAAATAATGATAATATTGTGTAAAAGTACATTTGACAGAAGTTAATTATTAGCATTGCGTCTGCTAGCCCTGAAAAATAGCCTTATTTTCCTTTAGTAAATTTTTTTCAAATTACTTGATTCAATTCTAATTTTATTATTTATTATATTCAAAATGTATTAAAATGTTAATTACAGAAAATTTAAAAATAAAGCAGCTTTAACTAATGATTTTTGTAGATTTTAAATAAAATATGTGGTTTCTATAAAAGGCTTGCAGATATCAACAATAAAAAGAAAAAATTTTAATTGTAGTCAAACATACAATATTATCACAACATATATTTTTAATCATGGAAGTTTCACTAATCACAGTTTTTATGTAAAAAAAACTGTCTAACTTACATTCACACAGTTGTGTAGAAAAATTCAGGGTATACTTAAATGTTGACTATATGAAAATACGAAAAATTGTCAGAGTATAATTGCATCTTTTTTCCCAACAAATCAAGACTAGTCACCTAAATTAGTTTCTTAGCGAAATAGACTACATTTATTGGGCGTTCTTAATAATGCGCAACTCAGAATAAATTATTACTTACTGATAGAAACGTGTGTGACTAGCTGACAATTTTTGTGTCAATGTAACAGCAGTATTTATGTCATTGTTTACACCCGATTAAAAGTTTTACTCTTACAGACATTGAAATTTCGAGCCACTATCAATCAAAAGTAACACCATTTGCCAAGAATGGCGTCTTTAATAGCAGATATGTACTGCGCAGGGACCCAATATATCCAATACCTTGATGCTTCGGTGGTTCCTAATTGTATTCCCTAAAATTCGAAGATCCAATATAAAAATAAAGTTGACATGACAATACTATCTTTATAACATGAGAACATAGCTATATACACACACCATAATATGATATTCAGGATGATCATGAATGGGTTCGCTGTGAACATCTTTGATTGAATTCATAGGTATTTTATCTGTTCTGTCTTTTGTACCAATCCACAATTGATCTTGTTCCAATTTAAATGTTAATCTAACTTTTCCCCCAGATTTGTTTAACATTCCAGCTAATGGAAATTCAGGCAGAGGTTCCTGTATAATTAGATTTTAATAATATTACTAAAGTAAACAATAAATATCAGAATATACATTATGTGTATTTGTGTATGTATAAATATAGAGTAAATTTTATACTATTTATACAACCTTGCTATCTAATATTCCTGGCATCACATCTTCTGGGATACCTTTATCTAAGACTTTCCTATGTATTTTTTGTTGTGATAGAGGTTCTTTGCTCACTGAAGAAACAGCTTCATCAATGAGGTCTTGTTTTGTTGGAATTGACACAGCCAATACATCATCTAACTTTGATCCAACTATCATGACTTTGGCACCTTAAACATTATACAATAGTAATATTTTTTATAACTCACATATAAAATAACGTACCTATAAAATACATTTTTAAGAATGATGGTCTTAATTAATAACCTTTTGTTACTCCCAAGTTCCTAAGAGTCTGATCATCTTTGGCTAATCCTTTAAACATAACTTTTTGCATTGCTTGTGGTACTGAAATGATTTTTTGCAAATGTGTTTTCAGTTCAGCAACTGTACTATCTAGAGCAAAATTTACACTAATTTTCTGTTTATTATAAACCACTGTAAAATTTATATTTTCCATAGGTAACTGTTGTTGTAAATTATTTTCAGCTGCATCCTGTGATTTGCTGTTTGTTTCATGTTCTGTTAATGATTCCTTGGTTTCTGTTGTTAAATTTTCAGTAGACTTTGGATTTGATGTCAGTTCTGAACAGGGGGATGAATTGCAACAGCTGTCATTGTTATCATTTTTGGCAGTATCTGAAAAGATAAAAAATAAATATATTAGAAAAATGAAACTAAGCAATGTCTTATCTTCTTAGCTGATTTTTCACATATAATCACATAATGATCACTTTCAAATTTATGATGACTCAGGCAACAAATTATATAGTATTCATTACAAAAACAAGTCACATGCAAAAGTGTTTTCTGACACAGTGAAAGGTTAACTTTTCGAGTTGCATTTATTTGAGATATATACACATTTTCAACTATCGATTGCATAACGTACATTGCTGCATCAAAATCAACCATAATTTTTAAAGCTTCACGCTTAAGAAAACTGAAATAAACGAAAAACATCGATGTCAGAATACTAATCTGACATACACAGATACACCATATATGTAACAGCATTCTGAAGAATCATAATCCAGCTAATTGCTCGTCTTGTTCCTCGCACGCTCAAGAATAAAACCAACGAAACGCATATAAAGAAAGCAACCGTACGTAGAAAATCATTACGAAAAGTAAGAAAAATAAACACGGGAATTTGCACATACCTACGTACTCCATGTTGAACCGTGTACCGTTGGCCAATCAAAATTATCACAGACTGCTACACACATATAATACACACACACACTACACACAGTTCTATAATCTAATGGCCGCGTTCAGCAGAACTAAATACTTATTAGCAAAGAGAAGACTGGAGAGCGGCCAGAACCATATGAAAATCTGTGATAGCTTCTCCGCCCTCCCTGTACACCAGCACCCTATGTCCATGGGTGGTGCATATTGGCAATTACGTAGCTATGGCCGGTATTCATAGTCGGATCTTGTATTTAAGATCGTCTTAAGTTTATCTTCAGATCATGTGCGAGTAATTTTATTGGCCGCAAAGCATCTGAAGATAAACTTAAGACGATCCTAAATATAAGATTCGACTATGAATACCAGCCTATGGGTTTGTTCGCGTCGCATGCCCCAACATGCTCCTACTCGCTCCAACGCGCTCTAATACGTTCGCGTCACCGGAAACAATATGGCGACTAGGTGTTCGCGTCGCGTTAGAGCGTACCCTAAGGGGCAATTAGGAGCATGCTCTAT